CGTCTCACACAGTCATTAAAAATGCATAAGTAGTTTGAGAAGCAAGATGCTTCCTCTGAAGCAAGTACTCCATAATTCTGCCTGGTATTTAGACACTTTTATCTTCAGAGAAAACTCAAAACTATTCCGTATAGTCTTGGTGTATTTTATTCTCCTGCGTTTTCAGAACTAAACATGAAAAAGGACTTAATGGGGGAGAGGGGGGAAATAACATATTTGTCCTGTGCAGAGAGAAGCCGATGACCGGCCTGATCGCCCAGCTGGCACATGCATCAATTCACGTACTGCCCTGACTGACCCGTGAAACGGCTTTTCCAGCTGCCCCCACTCCTTGTAGGTGGTAGCGGATACACACTGCTTTAAAAGCAGCTGTCTGTCTGCCAGGATTGCTTTGCTGTCTTAGCAAGTCTCCAATATAATAAAGAGAAACCATTAATGCAAGAGGTGTAAACTTCCCGGCTGACAAGAGTCCTCATGTTCTTGGTGGAAACTTCAGTAAAGGAAGTTTGTTTGATTTATTTCCAGCAAGCTGTGGTGAGGGTGAATCAAGACAAGTCATCTTCACAGGAACACAGATTAGTGCAGCAAGTTGCTAAATATCCTTGTTCTCTTATGTGTTTGCTTGGCTTCCGAGCTTTTCTGCTTTGTGCTGCTTAAAGAATGTGTTCTTCCTTTCCTCCACTTGGGGAATTTGTGTCTGCACTGGGGTGGATGCCCTACTGATACCTGGGATTCATTAGTGAAGCTTGGTAGAAAACATATTTTATGGCTTCTCATGGGGAGATGAGAGAGAAACAGGCACCCTTTGCTGCTGAAAGGAAGCAAAAGCTCTTGGGGGAATACGCCTACCTCAGCAAGGCAAAAATGACTTTACAGCAGAGGAGCATGAGCAGTATTTACTGCCCTCCCAGCCTCACTTTAGAGAGCGGGAGACAGGAGGAGCTGGGGAGATGGAGAGAGTCATGAGGACTGAGGGGCCCCTTTGTTCCCTTGGGAATAGAAACCCTCCCATTGGGCGGAAAACTCCTCTCTCCCCTGCCTCTCATCGGCTGTCTGGAAGTGCAGCGTCTGTTCCCGCTGCTTGGCGGCCCAGGTGTGCGGTGGGGACGCGTCCTTGTGTTGCGTGCTCTGGGTGTTTTGCAAGCACCTCTGTGAACCAGATGGCGCATGGGTGGTAGGAGCTTGCATCATTCTGCTGTTTGGCGAACCCCAAGGTGCATTTCTCTTTCTGACAGCTGTTCCTTGGGTTCGTGCTCAAAAATCAAAGTACTGGGAAGCTGCTCTTAGCTGTGGGTAATGCGTTAGGTGAACGCAGCATCCCTCTGTGCTCCATGTTCTAGGTAATTACAACCCTGCCGCTCACATAGCAGAGCACAGCGGGTGCCCTGTATTTATTATTTAGCGTAGTTATTAACTCTAGGCTGGTGATGCAAAGATAGCAGCTTCCTTGGGAGTCTTGTACTTTGCCTCCTCACCAAACCAGGCTGCAAACAGGGGAGGGGGCCTCGAGGTGCGTCCCACGGAGCTGAACGCAGCGTGGCTCTTTCCCCGTCTCGGCTGGCGTAGCTCGGCCAGCTTCCCATCTTCCCCCGGGACTGAATTATAGCGACCGAAAAGTGCACTGCCATTTCCTACGTCCTCCTTTGCGAGTGCCGCCGGCAGCGTGAAGGCAGGAGCCTGCGCGGGGGCCGAGGGGCGCGCAGGGAGGAGCGGAGCGAGGAATCGGGGCAGCGCGGTGCTGGAACGTCCGAGGTCTCTG